GAACCTTGAAGAGCAGAGTTCGTGGCAGGGGCAGCACTTTGTGAACCGCGAAGTGCAGATTTTGTGACAGGCGCAACACTTTCTCCACCTCGAAGTGCAGATCTCGTGGCAGGCGCAGCACTTTGGGAACCTCGACGTGCAGATTTCATGGCAGGTACAATGCTCTCGCTCACACTCACACTCACTCACTCTCTCACTCTCACTCTCGCTCTCCCTCACGCTCACACTTCACACTTCACACTCACTCATCACCACCACTACCATCACCACGGTCTCCACCTTCACAACCACCATCACGTCTCTGGACGCCAATGCGTCCAGATCTCTGGACTTTCTGCTACTGCAACTCTAGACCGCACACACACTGTGTCCTTTTTGCTGGGATAGTTTGTGTTCTTTGCGGTGCCGCGCTCCGCATGCAGAGTTTAATGGTTCGCAGCTTCATTCGGCCCAGGTTCGGAAAATCGTCGGATTCTTAGAGGGATCAAGCAGCAAGTCGTGGGCACAGCTTTGGGGTGGAAGGTTGGAGAAGAAGGTCTTTGGGCCTTATGGTCATCACCTTAGGCCTTGTGATTTCTTCCAGAAACTAGGCTCACCAGGCTCACCTCTTTCTTGCTTTCAACGTGTTTGCGGCTTAGGAAAGGGTTCTTCCCAAACTGGGGACGCCTTGGGCTCGGCCCTGAGACTGGTGCTACAAATCGCCACAATGCCCGCCAACAATTCACAACAATTGATTTCCGACTTCAATTGGAAAGCGTGACATGGCATGTTGGATTGGCAACTGGCCTCAGTTGGTGCTACAATGCGTAAGGCCATGGCAACTTGCGTTTTGGATCACTTACGAACACACACGTCAAGCCATGGGTGTGATGCTCAGATTGAACACTCCGATTCCAAACGATGAACTGAATTGCGTTCGAATTATTCCGTTTGAGCCACTCAGGTTACGGCGGGTTCTGAAACCATGGACCGTGGAGAGGTGAACCAACTGAGTTGTGCTTGGTGAAAAGGCCTGAGCTTGAGTTCTCGAGCTGGACCAAACTGCTCACTCCCAAACGCGTGAAAAAGGGAAAACCGCACCTGGCGCACCAGCTGCGTGGTTGCCTCAGCTGCGGGTCTGGTCCAAAATGGAAGCCTCACCAGGCTGAAAAACATTATACACACTTGCTCCGCCCCAAAAAAAAAACTCGTGCGGCAGACCCGTTTGCCCGTATTTATCAAATTAAAGAAGACCAGAGAAGAAACACAAATGGTTGAACCAGGCGAGTTGACACATGTTGAAGCTTGACCCTCGGGGGGGTTCCAAAGAGGACACACCACCCTGAAGCAGCGGATGCTTCAGTGAAGATCCGCCATGCCTGCATGCGTACGAGCCGATGGGCGAGCCATCCAATGATATTTGCCCCATTTGTTTGGATGATGCGCCACTCGGTAGCATTTGAAGGGCCGGGTGCTTGTATAGGAGTGTTTTAGACTTGCGCCACTTGGCAGCTTGAGAAAAGCAGAGCACAAGACTTCAGCCATTGTGTTGTGTGGCATCAGTGTGTGAGTGCGTGCAGAGAGAGAGAGAGAGAGATCTAATGCACATAGGTATATATCTAAATGATTGTGCATATAGAGGACCTTTAATTTTCGTGCCAATAGGGGGTTCGCTTCCCGGCAGGCCGACGGATGCGGTGATTTGCCCGTGTCCTGGGTCCCATGTTTTTTGCAACGACTGCCTCGCAGCATCCAAAGCTCTATGTTGCCCCTTGTGTCGGCCACTTGGCCATATGACCACCTTTGACCATCGTTTTGGATGGTGATGGAGGCCATTGCTATTAGGTTTGGATGATGAAGTTTCAGTCTTTGTAGGTGGATGCAACGCCAGTTCCAAAGCATCCATGGTTGCACAGGTTTGGCTTAGGTCCCTTTGTGCTCCATTTGAAGAGTAGGTTAAAAGCAAGGCTTTAATTTATATCAGTCATTTTGGTTTGCAACTATAGGACTGCCTGCAAAGCCAATTCCGTGATCTGCAGGAATAGATCGGAACCAGTGGTGCGTTTCCTCTTCAGCCTGCAAAGACCAGGACAAGGTCAAGTGGAATGGATGATCGACCAGCTGATGGAATCAGCGTCACTTGAAATGATCAACCACAGATTGAACCATTAAGCAGATCCAAGGATGTGCAAGGACGCGGAATTTTCTTGGCCTTTTTGCAGTAGATTCCAACATGCCTTTGGCCAGTCTGACCACACTAAGAAGTCGTTGAGTGAGCTTAGGCTGCAGGGGAACATGCAAATCTTGCGAATCCTTGTGGAGTGGAACTGCCCCGTCAACATCGATGCTCAAGCCTCAGCCAGAGAAAAACAGAGGCGAACGGACAGAGAGAGAGAGAGAGAGGTAAACGGACAGAGTGGAGACCAATTGTTTGGACCCCAGCAGCAGCGGGAGCCAGGGATCTTTAGCCATACTATCAGGTAAGAAACGAGTCATCATGTCTTAACCGACGGATAAGGTTGTTTATTCCTAGGTTTGGGAGTTTGCGGGGAGTTTTTGAAACTTGGGTTTTCCCAGTGTCGTGAGGGAGGCTTGGCATGTTTCAGGGGCCCAGAGGAGGTTTCGGAGCCAGTTCACTTTATGACGTGAGTCGCTCTTCGGGATGCTCGTCATTGGGAACGAAATGCGGCCATGCCTAAGGATAGCGACTTGCAACCTTTGCACGTAGCTGCGCAAGAGGGGCACACTGCCATCACTCAATTTCTGGTTGAAGCTCGCGCCAGAGTTGAAGCATCAGATGCTGATGAGGCCTTTGGAGTTCTTTTTTTTCGCTTACCGCTTAACAGGCTTAACAGTTATTTGGCGTTGACATTGTTACTACTAGCGTCCTTGTTACTACTAGTAAGGCACTTGTTACTACCAGTAAGGCACTTGTTCCTAGTAGCTTCTTTGTTGGGGTGTTTGTGTCAAACTTTCTGTATGTTCTTGACTTGTGATTTCTTGTGTGATGTTGAAAAGATTCCTCGGCATTGCAAGAAGCAAGCAAGCGTGACTTGCAGGGTGCCACACCACTATCACTGGCGGCCTTCGAGGGGCATTTAGAAACGGTGCAGTTTCTGGTTCAGGTGAGGGCGCAGTTGGATCGCTTTGATGGAGATTGTCTTACACCCTTCATGGCTGCCTGCAGTGGTGGCCATGTCGAAGTGGCCCGTTTCCTTTTAGATGCGCGTTCTGATCCGCAGAAGTGCAGCATTTGGGGCTTCACCGCGCTCCACATCGCTGTGGAGGACATGTGTACCGAGGTGTGCCAGTGGCTACTGCGAGAAGCGCGGGGAATCGTGGTCAACGCTTTAGCGCAATATGACGAGACCATTCTCCACATGGCAGGGCGGATGGACCACTGGGAAGTCATCGACATGATGCAAAGCCCCTTTGGTCGCGCCTTGGTCGAAGCACGAACCACCACTGGCTTCTCAGCGCTACACTTAGCCTGTGCACTTGGAAACTTGAAGGCGGTTGATTCATTGCTACGACTACGGGCTGATCTGAACGCCAGGACCTCACACGATGTCACTGCTCTCCATTTGGCTACGGAGAACGGGCACCTCCTCACGGTGAAATACTTGTTGCTCATGGGAGCCAAGATCAACACTCCTTGCAACTGTTTTCATGTTCATCATTCCCTATTGGATTGGCACCTTCCCAGGGATTCCGGCAACTTGCTCAATGTTGAGGTGGGTGCTCGAGTGAGCTTCAACCTCGCAGAGTTCAACAGTTCGGCTCCTGGAAGCCAATGGGTCTCTGGAGTGGTGGAGGCGCCCAGAGAGCCAATTCCAAACAGATTCTCCAGCACACGATCCCATGGAACCTGTGAATTGACCGATGGTTGAAGACCATTTTCCAAATTCCAACCCGAATGGTTTGGGGGTTCCATGTGGTCCTTTGCCGGGGAATAAAACAAATTTCTCAAGACAAGTCAGTGGATCCGGTGACTGGAGCATTCTTGCTCCTAGTAGCGATGCCAGGAGCCCCTAGTAGTAGCGTCCTTGCTCAGGAGCCCCTAGTAGCTTCTTGGAAGGCCAGGGGCCCCTAGTAGCGGCCAGCCCTGATAGCGTCCTTGCTCCTAGTAGTAAGGCCAGGAGCCCCTAGTAGTAATACGGCCAGGAGCCCCCAGTAGCTTCTTGTTACTAGTAGTAAGGCCAGGAGCCCCTAGCGTCCGTGCTCCTAGATCTGTTTTCAATATCCCTTTGCAGACCATAGGTTCTTGCGTGCAGGCCAGCCGACGAACTGATGATATAACATAGCGCAACAATTCTTTTTGAGGGGCAGTTTCTGAAAAAGTCTTGTTGGAGGCCGCTATTAGGTTGGAGGCCATCGCTGCTTTTTGTGGGGCAGTTTCAGTCTTTCACGGAGGCCATCGAGCAGGACCCTGACTCACCAGACCGCTTTGAAGACCTCTTGATGGTGAACACTGGAGAAATCACTTGCGCCGTGTCGAGGTACCACTGTATGCCGCATTTGCCTTCCACGTTGGTGGAAAGCCGCCATGTCATTGCAACCGGTGAGACGGTATACATCAAGGCGCCCATTTACTGCAGCTCAGGGGATTGGATTTTGGTGCCTGGGGATGTTGGCCATGTGGTGGCCATTTATTCATCAGGGGAATATGAGGTGGAAGCTGCCTGGGACGCGTCGAAGTCGAGATACCTGGCAACTCGTGATGATTTGATTCCTTTCCTTCAAGAAGAGGCTCTCCATACTGCGGCGCGCAAGGGGTATTTGGACATCGTCAAAGAGCTTCTCGAGGCCCGAGCCGTCCTTCGGCAGATCATAGAAGGAAGTGCCACAGGCAGAGACAAGGGAGAATGACCACCTCCAAAGGAGTTCGTTTCCTACCCAGTCAGTGGAAAAACGTTAGCCTTTTGGCGGAATCCGCTAAAAGGAACCGGTAGAAAAAAGGATAAAACAGGTTAACCTTCATTGTCCAGGGAAACTGAGGCAGTCAGGGTTTTAGACGAGTTTTAATTCTTCACACAAATTGTCCTTGTGGGCATCCTTGTTGTTTGGAGGCCGTCGCTATTAAAGCCACGCTCTCATGCTTGTTGATGCGTGGTTGTAGGATGTTGTAGGATATCGCCCTGCGCGGGCATTCCTGCGCCCACGAGCATCCAAAACACGCTCAAGTCATAGGATTTTCTGCACGTCAGACGTGCCACATCAGCTGACCAAGGACACGGAAGCCGGGCCGAGGACTGCACTTCACTGTGCCGCCCAAAGTGGCCACTTAGAAGTTGTGCAGATGCTCCTGGCAGCCAGGGCTGATATTGATGCGCAGTGGTTGGTTGCCAGCCGCAGTTGGGATTTCCGTACTTTTTGGCATTTGAATGGAACATGGCCAGTGTTTAGCTTTACGCGAAGAGATCCTTTTGTCGAGACAGGAGCCTCTGAGAGTGTAGCCCATCAATACCAGTCAAGACTACGCACCTTATTAGTAGAGAGGGGACCAACATACCGCGAGGCGAGGCTAGCCTAGAGATACTCAGATTATACAGGCGCAGTCCAAGAATTAGCGCGATTTCTAGAATGCTGTGCCGGAAAGACTTAAAACAGATATATTTATATATAATGTCTAATAAGCAGTAGTGTCCCCAGGTGGTTTCGCATCATATACATTGGCAGGTGGACGGCTCGCTTTGTAAACACAGGCTTTCGCACTGTGAACGTAGATGTTTGTGGCTAAGCACACTGTTAGAGATGTGCGCTTCTTGCATGCCAAACAAGGTCTCAGGACATGCCACAGGACTCAATACAAGGTCTCCACGATTCAAAGTGGTGGAACATCCAGGGCACCAGGGGACCACACGGGTCCGGGAACACGGGGCCCTCGTCGACTCTGCTGGTCCGGTGTCTTTGGTTTGAAGCCATCGCCACTGTTAGGGTGGAGGAATCAAGAAACTGCAAGATGCGCGTAGATCCATAGATCTGGGCAAATTATATCGACGTCACCGACGTCACCCTGAATTAACGACCTAGGTTTTGAAATTTAGATCTTGTTACCCCATTGAAATATTTCATCAATCACC